CGGAAACACCAACAACGAAAATGAGAATAACTAGATCCTATTATAAGTTCGAAATTCAAACATCTCTTTGCTCTTTGCGAAATTAAAATGTGTTTTTTGGGGGAGAGTGCTGGCGAACGCGCGAAATCACTTAATAAAGCCGAATTATAGTCAAATATGTATGTAGCTAAATATCAGTTTCAAGTCAGATTTTTTAAGCGATTGGTTGTTTAGCTGCTTTAGCGTTGCCAATGAACGCTTAGAACTCTATTTTCATACCATTTCTTTCTGAGGCTTTTGATGTTAGCTGTCCTTAGGAACTAAAATTGTCTTTTAAGTAGTAATTTCCTGAAAATGTACTGAGTTACCCACACCTCTCCGTCATGCTGCAGTCTATTTCTTGAATTGTAAATGTATTTCTCTTTGGATTAATTCGAGCGAACAACATCTTACAATCTCGTGACTGTTTTGGAGTTTGTTGCCGATGAGACCAGCGCGACAATGGCTTTGTATTTCGTAACAACCCAACTGATTGAAATAAATATGCTAGTAGTAATGTGTAAGAGAGATAATTTGGGTCTTGAATTTCACCAAAACTACGGCACTTATTTTTAAAGTCAATAATATTACTTTAACTGGCTCCAGCAGCCAGACTCTCAGTCTGATTGCGGAGTTTCCTTTTCGCCTATGGAATATTCAATGGGTCGTTAGTTCAGAATAACGTTGAGTGAATCAGTTGTGTACGAATTAATGACTACTGTAACACCTGTCCAAGTTGCTCATTGGATGCTGCTCATTTTTCTGGCTGTATATATTTTGGCTAATACCGTGGTGGGCTGCATTTTCGTTAGGATCGGTCCATGATGGCTTACACATCCAGATTTGGATTCTAATTCTTGTCCGATCGATACTGTACATTTTTTTAACAGCAGTCGTCATCGGCAAGAAATGGCAACCCTGATAATTAAACTATATATTACACCCCCTCGATAAATGTTGACGTTTCAAAACGAACTGTGATATTTTCAAATTTATGACATCCAGCTATGAACGGGTTTCAAATACATACATATGTATGTGTGTTACATATATTTTTAATTACTGGGTGTGCAAGTTGTCTTATTGCACAGTTAATTGCTACCGGGTTTCAAGCGTTGAAGACATTTGGTTAAGCCATACTGCAATGTAGTGAGATATTAAGAAACTTGTCTTCCACCATGAATGCTCAATGATCAATCAAGTTAAAATTGGTGATTTCGTAATAAATTGCAGTTGCAACTGCGCTGGGGGGGGGGGAAGATTTGGTAGGATGGTATTAGCAGCTAATTTGTATGTAGAGTTATTGATTGAGTTGCAAGTATGTATTAAACTATAGCAAAAGAATTCATCGGCATCAAATCGCTCAAATACATATTTTACTATTTAGAGCTAAGCTATGGATTGATATCACTATGATAGGTTTTCTTAGCTGGGCTTAGCTAGCGGGCATACTAAGTTTAATGGCAATGTACACATTCATAAACATACAGACGTACAAATATACGTATGGCCTATTTGCATATGCATTTGAAATTAGTTTCTCAGCTATTTATGATTTATTTTACATATTCTTGCTTGCCGTGAAGACGTTATGGCCATAATGGACATGTCCGAAGAAGTACTTACTGCCGCCACATGTGGCTGCTGCCTGGATTTGGCGTTTAATGAACATTGGCTTAGCACTTCAATATTTCGTGCCCATAAAAAAAAATAAATATTTTTTATGGATTTCTTGTTCTTGGTAGTACATACTTACACATAACAAAATGAGTGTGTGAAATGTATTTTAGATTTGTAAATAGAAGAACAAAACAGAAGCAAAGATAAAAAGAAACACATGCGTCTGTATGTTCATACATAAATAAGTTCATATCTAAATACCCAAATACCAATTTAAAGAGCGTATTATAGCTTTTAGGAAGCGCTTTTTCGATAAGACATTTTCTTTAGAAGTTATGTTAGAAGATCTTCGAACAATGAATACCCATCGCGCCTCAAAATATTAAAACGGAAGCACAACTAGAAAGCCTTACTACTGATTATTTTTAAGAATAGATTGCGTTTACATTAGGGTGACCCAAAAAAGTAGATAAAATCCGAAAAAATATACCCCTGTTTTTTAATTTAAAATAAAAAGATATTTAGAGGTCGCTCAAACAAAGAAAACAATTTTTCGTATAAATAAATATAATAGAATTCCTAAAAAACAATATTTTTCGATCGGAAAACTCTGTTTCTCTTCAGGTGATTTCCAGTAATAATACCCAATGGATTATTTAACAGATTTTTAGTATATTGGGTCCTCAAAAATCCAAATAAATGCTATGGGGAGACCCATAAAAAATCGTTTGTTATTAAAAAATGGTAAAATAAACACTTCGGTATTATTATTGGAAGTCTCTTGGGGAGAAATAGAGTTTTCCGATCGTAAAATATTGATTTTAAGGAACTCTATGCCAGTTCTACGAAAAAATGTTTTTTTTTTTTCGTATAAATGCATGAGCGCTTTGAGCGCTTTAAGCGACCTTTAAATACTTTTTGATTTCGAAATAAAAACTAGGTTTATATTTTTTCGATATAGACAACTTCTAGGACTTTACTTCTTTCACAAGAATTTTCGGACCACCCTAGTGTACAATGTACTTTGCTTTATTATTACTATTTTGTTATACATGTCGATATGAACATACACTTATATGTATGCAAACATATTCATACCTACTCTACTGCGTGGGTAATTTATTTTTTTGTTGCTAACAATTGCCGTAGCGACCGGCTCTGCGCGATATCAGCAATTCAAGAACTCTTTAGCGTGGGTGGCGCGTTTGAAAATCTAAACCAGTTCTTCATATTTCACAATTCGATGAAAAACATAAAGAAATGGGTTCGTGTTTTGCTTCAGTTTTTTTTTTAAATAAGTGTGAGAATATGTAACAAATTTATATTAAGTCAAGCCGGTTCCAGTTCTTATTTAGAATTGAAGCTTTTGGAGTTGTTTAATTGCTTGGATAATTTTCATAAATTTAAATTTTAAAATTGTCATAGTTTATGGGATCCCTCATAGGAAGAAAAACTCTTGTTGACCAGATACTTTTTGAAGTGATATTTCTTTAGCGGGGGCGGTGAACTAACAAACGGTGACATTCTCCGTGCATTCTTTTCTATTTGCGCCTTCAGTAATATTTAGAGTGAATTATTGAAATATGCTTGGCAACGGTTTGAGGTTAAGTTTTAGATTAAGGCAAAAACAGGGGTAAAAAAAAGAAAAAGCCAAAGCCAAAGGCGAAAGCAAAAGCGAAGACGGATACGAAAACAAAAACAAAAACGAATACGAAGACACATACGAATATGAACACGTAAGTTGGAACAAAAAACACGACTACGATACGAATACTAATACGAACACGAGTACCAAGACCAATACGAAGTTAATAACAAAGCTGAATAAGACGACAAATAGGAAGAAGTAGAATGCGACGTGGAAAACGAAGATGAATACGGCGTCAAAAACGAAGGTGAACATGATGACGAAAATAAAGACCAAAACGAAGACGAAGAAGAACTAGAATTCGAAGACAAACTGGAATACGAATACGAATACGAAGTCGCATGCGACATGGAATACGAATACGAAGATGAATACGACGTTAAAAACGAAGGTGAATACGAAGACGAATACTTACATAGTCGAATACAAAGTTGGACACGAATACGAATGCGAAGACGAATACTAATACGAAGACTTCAGCTAGTATTAAGAGTAATACAAATTTCTACAGTATGAAAAAAGAACAAAAATGAATCGAAGGAACTTTCACTTCTGTAGTGTGGCCCAGACACACTGCTATTTTGTTTAACTTTTTTTTAAGTAGAGCTGCGCTGCCGAAAATTTTCTTTTGGCGAGTTCCTTCGGGAAACATTAAGAGAGTTCGCAGCGGATCTTACAACGGCAAGTGCGTAACCATTCTGATTACAGTTTTACCCAATTTTCGAAGGAAGTTAATTGGTTTCCATGAATAATTTAGACAAAAATCTTTGCAGTTTCTTATACCCAATTACGTGGGAGACACTGTACTAGAGCTCCAATTTCATTTCCGGTAAATTTTTTTCATTCACTTTTAGGGTCGTTTTCTCATGTAGGTTTTAAAGCATAAATTGTGCTGTAAAAAAAATGTATTTAAAGGGCAGAAAATTTTAATATCTACTTGAGTAAACGGCATTAAGTTTTCTAATTTCTGAATTTAATCAATCTGCGAAGTGTTATGAATCAAAAGTTTTATAATGCCTTCCTAAGTCAGCTTATATATATATATTTTTTTTTTTTTAGTTTCACTGCTTATCATGCATCTTTAACTGAACTTTAACACTCTCTAAGATTAAATGCACCGCCGCAAATCCATTTATTCTACTAAATTCTCAGCTATCAAAATGATTAAAACTTGCACTTTGCATCAACTTATCAGACCATCAAATCTAGGATTGTGCTACTTTTATTCAGATTGTTTTTCTAAAGCTACAACTTTGTACTAGACGACAGCATGTCTAGCGAATATACAAATATACACATTTATGCACATATTCGCTTATCAAGAGCGAAAAGCAAAAAAAAAATTATTATTTTTTGAAAGCAAATCACCTTTGGCTACGGGCAGAAAGTTCCCCTTCAACACGAGAGCGATTTTTTGTATTTAAGTAGAAGTTATTTACTTACACAACATTCAAATAAATAAAAAAAAATGCATTTATTTAGTTGGAGTACCAATTACTTTGCAATCTGGTTTTAATATTTGCAAGCGTGTAGATATTTCCATTGGCAGGATATTAAAATTGTTCTCTCAAAAATGCGCATAAAATTTTTTATTGACTTCGCATGCATTAAAAACTGTTAGGCGAATTATTAGAATTTTTAATGCGTAATAATTTTTTTTTTATTGATAAAACAGCTTTTCACAAATATTTTATATGCTTTCTTTCCTTTGCAGATGTCTGATTTTTCGGATAGTTCACATAGTGGCGTTGCCAGTCCAGCAGCGTCGTTAATTGAAAATTTCCACAAGAAGAATAGCGGCAATACACCAACAACAAGTGGCGGCGTCGGCACCGGTACAGTGTCCACAGTCTCAACGCCCGCCATAAATGGCCTCACAGCGGTTAGCTGCAATGGTGGCGGCGCTAATAATGGTTTAAGCAATGCAACAACAACGACTGTGGGGCGACACATAAATACAAGTTCCAGTTCTAGTAGTAGCGTTAAGGAAACATCATCCACATCACAACAGGTGAGAGAGCAGAGCAGCGGGTGAAGAGAGAATTTACTTAGTTATAAAATAAGATAATGCTTGAACGAGCGTTTATTTGCACACCCACACACACACACATACACACATTCTACATGCAAAAACAGAATGAGCGCATGCGATTTTTGGTAATGCCTAAAAGTATGCTAAATTTCATAATATAATTGTGTATATGTGTGAGTGCAGGTGTAGCAAAATGGACGCAGGGGGGGAAGCAAAGAGAAAGTGAGCCGAAAACGGGGTGTACAAGAATGATGAATGAATTATTTTTCTCATACATGCATACAGCCATACATACACAGTTATTCCGATACGTATGTATCTGCAAGTATGCATATGTGTATATAATAAAATTATTAATTTCGGAAGTGCCGTAGAGTGATTCTTAAGTTGAAAATATTTGCACATCACTACTACGTACATTACTATCCCTTGCATTTGAATAGGGACCATGCTTTTTCTATTTTATTTTTTATTTTTTTATTTCTTTCCTTTAATTTCCATTATTTCAATGAAAATGTGTGTAGTTCATTCTCTAACAAAAACCTTGTAAACACAAGTTTTAAACTTTGTAGAAAATTAAAAAAAAAAAAATCATCAAAATTTCAAACTTTCTTCTCTGATTTTTTTCGATATGCAGTTATGTAACCCATACAATTTTGGTAGAATAAAGTGTAAATTGGAAGTATCTAGAGATTATTGTTGATTTTAACAATTTTTTACTGATGCTCTTCAGCAATTTTTTCCATATAACGCATGCTGAATTTTTATATAAAAAAATTATCAAAGATCAACTTTAATTTGTAGCTATTTAAACTTTGTTTTTTAATATGTATGTATGTCTGTACTAAAATTTAATGGGCTACAAAACTGCATAGCCAAAAAAAAGTAAAAATTCTAAGAAAAAATTTAAATTTTGATGAAAATTTTATGATTGTTTTTTTCTACAAAGTTTGAAACTTGGTTTGTATGGGTATTGTTAGAGAATGAACTGAAAATAAAGAAAAGTAAATAAAAGGAAAAAACCCGGAAAAAGCGAAAAAGTGGTGTCTCTATTCAAGTGCATGGGAGTGTATGTATGTAAGTATATACATATGTATATATATTTCTGGAAAAAAGAGTTCTATTGGTAGCCCTTATTTCGGACCTATTGAAGCGATTGTATTTTGTATTGAATCATCAGAGTTTCAAAGCCTCTGATTCAAGTTCCTTCAGCAGGGAAAAATTTACATGAAATAATAATGATTAAATAAACTTTGACTTTGTATCAGATCTGCGCTGAAACGTCTACTTTATTTGACTTCCATTGGATTGAAAACATACCTTCTTGTTTTCTTCTTGCTTTCGGACGGCAGGGCTATTGAATGATCTTTTAATACAGCTTTCCAAGAGAAGAGAAGCCCTTCCTGAAAGTGTTTATTCATAAGCGCTCTGCATTTTACCGTCTGGGTTTCATTGACGCCCAGTATGTACATATGTATATGTAGAACCATACCAATCAAATTCATAGCGAGTTGCGCCAATGTGCCATCATTTATCCCTCTTCACCACCTCAATCATGATCATCGGCTCCAAACAAGAAATACCGAAAGTCGAAACCAAATCGAAACAAGTAAAAAAAAATTTACCAACATCATCATTAATTCGTTAATAATTGCAAAGAAATTATTACAACTAAGCGGCAATCAACGGTACCTTATCAAAATTACGAATTCTCGCTCCATTCCTCTCACAGTATATAGACATTCTAGGTGCTTTTTCAAAAGAAAAAAGCTCTACAGATAAAGCGCAGCGAGATAAATCAACAAATAATTAGCAGCTGTCAGTATTTCAAGTGCCGCGTCTCAAAGGTAATTTCTTATTGTTTTTTTTTGCCTACATAGATATCTATGAAATTTTTTTTATAACATTCTAAAACGTTAACAGTGGCAATCTCGTTGGCAGTTGATGGTATAATGGTTATTTTTAAATGCTTACGAGCGTAACTATTTGAAATATCACAACTAAATATTCAAGTTGTCCTCATTTAGTAGTAAAGGTATTTAATCGGAGACAAAGTTAGCTTATCAGCTGGACAGAGACGCTGGTTGCTTGTTTATTCGACGATTATGTTGATTGATTATTTATGTAGGTATGTAGAAGAATAAATATGAAAACGAATAATTTGATTACCACCAAATAAATACTTTCAAGGTCAAAGAGGGTGAATGACTCTGTAAGAATGTAATTGGATTCTTGATAGAAAAAAGGTACTTTCAAAATGGCAACTGATGGACTTTGCCTTTCATTATGTAGTTAGTAAGTTCAAAAGGTCAAAAAATCTAAGTAGGTTGCTCTGTGCGCCTTCTTCGACATTCGGTTTACTCCGAAGAAATGTAATACCAAGGTGGGTATGATAAAAGGCTGAGTTGGAACTACTTGGGAAAAACTCTTATTAAAGCCGTACAAGCCCATTGTTGATTGAAAATAGGGGTTGTGGTCAATGTGACCAGAATGGATATATCGCATGATTGCCCATCTAATTTTTTCAAAAACATTAGGGTATGTATGGAAAAATACCGGTATAGAAAGATGCAGGCTTTTTTACTCTATACTTAAAACATTTACTTTTACAAGAAATGCCAGCTAAAAATTGTGGAGCGGGAATTGCGGCGTATTGACGCCCCCTGATTGCAGTCACAGATATGTATGTTCATTAGTACACAGACGGATTAAGCAATGAATCGTAAGCTGACAATATATTAGGACTTCATAGTAATGGACCTCACCATTGGGATATGTATATGTAAAATAACATTTAGGTTGCAGTGTTCCTTGCTTTTCTACACCAAAAAAATCTTAAACCGCATTTATGTTAGTAACCACAAAGTCGTAATGCAATATCTAAATATTCATATATTTTTGCATATACTTATTACTCTGTTAAATATTTCATAATTCCCACCCGATCGTTCTGCGCTAAATAAAAATACACGTGTGTACGTATGTCTATCAGCGGCGTGCGATTGTTGGCGCCGCATTTGGCAAAACTTTTACGCCATTTATGCCATTTACGCCATTCACCATTGGTTGCCATTTATTGCTCTGTCAGAACTCATTAATTTGTTTGACTTTCCCAGCGCACCCCAACTGATTCGAGCACCGCATGGCGTATGCGCAATGTACTCGGCGATCCGTAATGCTTTGTTGTAAATATGTGGTAACAGTAGCCCCAGTATCAGCAGCAAAGCAACATGATTAACACAGAAATGAATGTAAAGTTTGAGGAAAAAATTATAGGGAATCGCTTACACTCTTCCTTAGTAGATATATTTATATGTAGTTTTACCGGTAAGTGAATCTATGGCTTATAGATGATACTTTCAATTTACGGTAATAATAACATAATAAGCAAAATTTGGTTAGGGTTAGGTTAGGTGGTTAGAGCAGCTGCCACTGTGTAAAAGCACACTTAGGCTGAAAAAGCCCGTTGCGATACCACTGGCGAACGCCATTTGATTCCCTCCTTCCCTTAGAAGTTGGACTTAATTTCGAAATTTACTATGGATTATCATAAAAAAAAAATGCCTAAAAGCAGTTAATTGCAATACGAAATTTTATAGTAATGCCGTCTAGAATACGTTACTCATCTCGGCGTTTGCGATACCAAAGTCTTTGCTGGGATGTACTTGTACATATACATATATGTATATGCATGTATTTATATGCCAAGCATGGATCTACAGACAATTTTCCCAGAAAATATTTACAAACAATTTCGTTTGTTTGATTAAATTTTTACGACGCCTGACTTTCTCGCCTCATTTTTTATTGGCTTTGCTGTTTTGTCGGCGAAAAATGTCTTGCGGCAATGATGATAGCAGGTGCTAATTAGACAGCACTTGTTAGATGCCATCAAAGGGGAAGTACTTGGCGAATGGTGATGTTCGAAATATTATTGGTTCCAATAAAATGGTGATAAATATTTTATTTGCATAAAGAAATTAATCAGAATAAGATATAATCGAAATAAGAAAAGTGTTAAAGGTGCAAAGTAGCATGGGTAATAATGCTAATATTTATTGGATTATTTAATATTTGTTTGGAGAGAGAAGGGTAATAACAGATTTTGACAAAGGCTTGACGGAAATTATTTCGAGAGAATTTTTGTCAGAGCTGTAAAAAAATTGCAACAAAATTCGATTGCAATCGCAAAATATACTTTATGTTGCAGCCTGTTTTGATTGCTTTTATTTTGATTCTAAAAGTTACAATTTACAATCCTATAGAAGATTTTGATTTTTGAATTTTTTAATAAACTTTAATGCAAATATCTATCATAAGTTTACATATTATTTTCGTAGGCATTTTCTTTTATGAAAACCCCTACTGCCATGATCTTATTGGTAAACTATTTGCAGCTTGGTTTTCTTTAGTGCATATTCACACGAAGACGGAGTCTGAGAAATCGCGCGTTGCCCATGCTCGCATAGATTTTTTATATACAAATATTCATGTTAAATACCAGTTCAGATGCCTGCAGCATCAGTCACCTCACATTCGATTGCAGGCATTTTATTCCCGATTTCTGGTGTGACGACCTCTTTTGGATGACCTCAAGGATCGATGTCAACTCTGCTGGTATGGCCACATAGAATTCCATAAATCATTGCTTAATCATTGAAATTGATGGTTCAGACTACTCATAGTATTTATAAGCACACGAAATTCCCTTCTTCTTTCTTTCCTTCTTGAAGTTTTTTATTTTCAAAAGCTAAATAACGTACCGACAGCGATGCTCCATGGTTGCAGTCTAAGAAAAGTTTGGTTCCCCGACTACAAAAACAAATTTTACTAGAGTAACTAAAAACCGACTTAGTTTAGACATTTGTAAATGGACATGTTTTTATATTTCGAATGAAAAAAATTTTATTTGTGTACATAAAAGTTTTAGCGCCTATCTGTGCACAGCTTTGCCGTAGTCAGCTTCTTTAACAGCTTTG